CAAGTAGGTCACCTGACCTGAATCCCCTCAATTACCCGGTTCGGGCGGAGTTCAATAGGGTGGTCTACGGTGGCGGAGAAATCGACTATCTCGCTGATCTCAGGGACCACATCGCGGTCGCGTGCCAGAATCTCTCGATGGCGCTCCTCCAGAAGGCTGTGGCGGAGTGTCATAATAGTATTTAATATGCTCTTTAATATGGTGGTAGAAATGTCCGATCAGAATTCAATAAAGTGTAACTTATAGCGCCTCGAAAGTCAATGAAGCAAAGTGACTTTTTTTGCCCCCCCCTGTAGATGGTTCTTTTTAGTTTGTGTAATTCAGTGACCTGAAGAAGGGCTTAGGCTCGAAACGTTGTATAAACTTTTGGAAGAAAAGAAGAGCTGCTCACTCGCATACATAAGAACAAGTACTCCATGTTGGTATCTACGGGAAAATGAAACGCTTTGTAATATCTGGGGTTTGCTCGCTTATATGCCATTAGCTGCCCCTGTGCAGTCTCCCCAGCAAATGCAACAGGAAGGGCATCACCAAGAGCGCTTCCGACGGTTTCCCCGTTGTTTCTCTTTAGTAAGTCAACTAGCATATATACTTCTGTTTTCCGCACTACCTACGACACGTCGACTACTGGTCGCGAAATGTGCCCTTTGATGTTTTTCAACATGCCTTCGATTACTTACTTACCTAGATGACTGAGACGACCCGTTCTTCGGCATGGCGGCTGATTTGCGCGGGTCGCAACTTCTCCGTTGTTCTCTGTCTTGAGCCTTGGTTGTTCAGGGCAAGAGATCTTAAGAGACGTCTGGTCCACGTGTGTACCATCGCATGGTGCGGAACTCCATCCTTTGTCCCTTCTCCTCATCATATGCCCGGCAAATCGGTGTTTTGCTTCGTCAATGTCAAGTACAATTTCCTTGATTCACGATATGACTGACTTCTGAATCGTGAAGCACCGCATCCCGCTGACAGCTCAAGGTCGGGCCCACAAGTTGAGCCGTCAGCGAGATTCGATATTTGGGCAGATTTTGGTCGCCTTTCGAGCGCTTCCGTTCCAAGTTTCTTCCGCTAGCTTAGAGCAGGCAATACTGCCGCGTTGAAGAGGTCTGCTCTGAGTTAGTGATTCCTGGTATCCTCCACGGAGCTCTTTATAGAGTTGGATGTAACCCAGCCAGCCTTGCACGCCTGGCTAGCTCCCCGGCTAAACTGTTCCTCATGTAGCAGACTGTCGAGATACACGTACTCTTTGACATCTTCAGTCTGGCTTGCTCTAAGGATTACGGTCGCACTTCCCTGCGAATCGGTTCGCCAATCCTGCAGTACGTCCATGTAGGTCTTCTCAAAAATTTGCTCTTCCAGCTCCTTCCATACTTTCACCGGTTTCATTGAATCGGATACCTTCTCGTAGTCGACGCAACATCATACAATAGCGCTGATGCGTCTCTTCGACAAACTTCACCTCTTCAGAGACACCCTCATACTTTAATAAAACTTTGTTCTCTCTTCGTTGTTACGTAGTGATCTGCACTTCCTGTATTGCCATATTACCCTTTGCCAGTATGTACCACAAATACTCGTTTTTTTTCTTCTCTCAAACAAGCAAAAACCTTCGAGTTAGTGGATTACTGAACTAATAAGAAACATTGAAACGTAAAGGGGGGAATAAAGAGGAATAGCCCCGTTCCTACTTTTTTCGAACTCCCGTGATACTCACGGCGGTGTCATGACGACAAAAGGAAAGGCCTCTGTACAGCCCTCTTCCACAACCTCTCACTAGGGCCCCCTGCACGTGGCAGCTGTTACCACATTTCCCCAAGTTTTTACTGTAGACTGCGCAGTAAATGAGTATACAAAATGACTACCTTCTATCGCCCATCAGAAACATTGAGATGTAGTAGTTTTCTCGCGTTGATTAAGGAGGAAGAGTTCCTTCTGAAAGGAACGCCAGTTATTTGGAATATGTAGAAAGAAATCGTCTTTTTGGCACTCCACCAGCTTGGAGATGGGGGGGGGGGGCGTGGGAGGAGTTCCAACTAATGAGACCAGTTCGTTGTCGTGCCAGGGGTGAACGATGAGTCATGCTGGCTACACAGCCTCCAGCACATGACTCGTTGAACTTTCGGTACAAACTTTCATAAGTTCACATGAATCAACTCATCGTTATTCTTGTTTTGTGTTCTCCTTCGAGTGGGAGAATTCTTTCAACTACCCAATATCATTTCCGGCGCTGTTCGGCGACAGTGGGGGGGGGGGGGAATTTTGTAATTTTGTACTTTTGCTGCTTTACTGGTTCCGGTTTACAAGTCTCACCCTGGATAACCTGTGAATTTTGTGAAGCTGGAGCAAGCTCGTCGAGCCGCCATGACAAAATTAGTCTTTACAAGAAAAGGCTTCGGGTCCACAGGTCGATGAGTTGTTGCAAAAGTGCAAAATCCCCCCTCCCGTCGCCGAGCTGCCCCTCATTCTCTTTTCGATAATGTTACTATACTATACTTGATGTTATAGCTCATTACGGTAATGTGTTAGCTACCCACCGTAATCTATAGTAATTGAAATTGTTCTTTAGAAAATGTCAAAAGCGTTCGTTCACATCTTTTTACTATGCGGGTTATCATCTGCTCGACACGTACGACGATCAGCTGACGACACCACAGGTAATCTGTTAAGATGACAAATTACTCCTGTAACTCAGGGAGAACAAACTGATTTTCAGAATTTATCGCCTTTGGTTTCAATTTTCCAAAAATCAAGCCATGGCCATCGTTCATACTCTAAAAACTTTGTACTAATGAGGGCATACACGTGACAACCGTCGCATCGCAGACACGGAATCATTTAGTGTGCAGCTCCCAGCCAAAAAAAACCGAGAGTGGCTAAAAATATCTACTGTAGCCGACAGATTCCAAAAAATGCGACGCGGCCGCGCATGTAGGCTCTCGCAGAAATCTCGAATATCTGAAGAATTCTCGGATATTGTTTCAGTTGCTTCGGAAATTCCTCCTGCTGCACCGGACACAATCCTGCCAGTTCAACATGTACGAGAAGTTTCCAACGGTTACTTGACCTCATAAGATCAGCAGGCGGCGTTTCTGCGTTCGATCAGAACAGGAAGAAGCCCACAGTACCACGATTGTGTGCCCAGATGAAATAGATGGAACATAGTCTAGATCGTGTACAATTTCAGCCTATAGTTGGGGGCCTAGATTGTATAAGTTGATGTCCATAATTCACAGTCCACAGGCGAGTGTTAGGAGTCGTGGACTGACCAAACCCCTGGGCCGTTAGTTTCTACCAATAAGGTTCGTTTTAGGCAGAAATATATCGTGGCAGCAAAAGGCCCCCAGCGCATTAAAGGCCACATTCGCGATAAAAAAGGCTATGACGCTGCTCAAATGTGTCGGTACATCCCGGAAGGCGATTTTTGAGAGGCTGCGTTTTCTTTCAAAAGTGAAAAACGCAAGAAGCTCCGCTAGAAGCTGACTAATTAGGCCCATGCCGACCCTCACCGGCTGCTAGCTACTAGCTAGTAGCCACTATGTTATCTTTCTCTATAACATTTCGGACTGCTTTTTCTGCTGCTTTTCTCCGCTAATCAGATACTTAGCACTTTTTGTGCCTATTTGAGTTCCGTTTCCCGCAATTTGCGGTCGCGAACTGTGCCTTTAAGCTACACAGTTACTTTCCGTATGTGGGCGTATCATCCTGTGGTCTCGTGATTTATCGTGCCACTTCCCTGCCAAGGGGACCTGGTTTACGAAATGATCGATCTTGCACAGGTGGCAATTTGGTTGTCCTAAGATTCCACTTTTAGTGGCGCATTTGCTCGAAGTACCAACCGCTGCATCGTCTCTGCCCCAGCAGCGCGATTGGAATAACTGTCAAACCAGGTTAGGGTGAGGAGGGGGAAGTCGCGGAGGTTTCTCAACCTGGTAGTCCCGCTCACTAGTTACTGTCAACCTGCGCGTCTCATCTTTGCAATACGTGTAGATCCTTGTCGAATGCAAGCGAAGGCTCGTGCTACTGCATCGCTTCAGAGGAATTCACAGATCTCCCGGGGGGGGGGGGGGTATCGGTGGGAACCACCAAAAGCCCCACTAAGCCGAACAGCACCAGCAGAAAATTTCGAGGTTCCCAATTTCAGGTGGGAATACGAGTTTCGTTACCCTCTCCCGAAGAGTGTTCCACTCCGCAACGGGCCCATAATACCGACGTCCGTGATTGCTGCTCTTCTTTTTTCTCGTTCATGTTGAAAGTAAAGTTGAAGTAAAAGTTGTTCTTGAAAATCGTATGCTTTTAGGGAACTCCCCCGAAGGTATTGCTCGACTATACATCATCGCCAAGCAAAAAGCTGAAGAAAGCAAAGCGACGACAGCGCCGCCCGCCCCTGCCGCTGATCCATCGGCGGACCCGGCTACGAAGTTGTCAGCTGGTGATGAACTCCCGCCAGTCATTGACGGACCCACAAAACCACCATTCAACGACACCACTCCTTTCAGTGGTATTGATGTTAGTGAAGTGATGGAATTGCGTATTGTTAAGCCTCTTTGTGATTACTAAATGCTTCTTGTGCACTGATCTAATTTTTGTCCTTTTTTTCTTATCTGTTTGCTCTCTGTGATTGATCGCTCGTGTACATTCAACACATACTTGTAGTGCTAAGCACATCTTGACGTGACGGATCATTGGAATAAATGTTTCCGTTGAGAAACACGCTACTTCTGGATAGCAACAGCTGGAAAGGCGGAGCTGCTGCAAACAGTGCAAGCGCAATGAAGGATGTAGCTATTGGCTATGATAAAACTCTTTTCGGATGTGCCGTGCATTCTAATTTCTTCCACAATCGTGGTGGGTTGCTGCAGACGAGTTGGCACACACAACGACTAGCGGTGGTCTCCCATTAAGTATACCCCAACCAAGATGGCACCAGTTTTCAGCCGCGGAAGAATGGAATACCTTGCTGCGATGGATGGTCCAAGAAGCAGTGCTCGAGTCACCGTGCGCGCACAGTTTTGATGTTAGTCTGTGTTCCGACACCAAGAGCACGTTTGGATGGCTTAAGGATATGGTAGGAGCGCATTCATGCTTCGCCATCGCGCTGTTGTCGCGCGGTCGGGCCGCTTGATTAGATAGCTCGAATCGCGCGACGCCGCCAAACGGTGCACCGCCGCAACAGCATACTTCAACTTATCACTGCGTGAACGCGGCCAGTTTGAATTCTGCTGATGCCAACGTGTGTTCCGTTTAGCGGTGAGAACGCGCCACCGCTTCGGGATCGCCTCGACTGATCTCGCGCGGAAATTGAGACGGAATATCATTGACATTAGTTGGAGCAGCTGGCGGTGAAACCATACTGGGATTTGCGAGCTAGCCGTGCGAATCTCGAATCATCACCAGGGAGCACGCCATCGGGTTCATGATCATTTCCTGGAAAATACGACCGCCTCCTGCCCAATGCCTACCTACAACTTCCCAAGATTTTCCTTAACTTCCGCTTATCCACTTTACCTTTTCCCATTTCTTTCCGAGAAAAAAAAGGAGTGTGGAGTTAATATACCCAATGTGAAACAGGAAATTTTCCCAGATTTTCCCCCAGTTCTTCCGAAATTCCGCGAAATCTGGTTTTTCTTTGCTGTCGAGCGGGGTGGAGGGGGGGAGGAGAATGGCGAGAATGTCGTCAGATTGATTTATCTATTTATTTATCATGCACTACATGTTAACACGTTTCTATAGTGCACAAAAAGAAAGATCCAAGGTGTATAAAAAAAGACAAAACAAAAAAAAAATCCCCACACAAATACAACGCCACAGTAAGAAACCACTCCAGAACTTAAGTCTTCTCAGAAATCATGCATGCCTATCAAGCTCATTAGGTCAACCTTCTTCAATTTACTTTTGAACGCATAGATGTTAGGCGCCCTCTGCAGGTCTGGTGGAAGAGACTGGAGCCATCTCGCTCCTCGAAAAAATAGTGAATTAAAGAACCTGGGCTCGATGCCTTCCCTTCAGTTTAGGACACTGCAAAGACAGCGAAGAAATGCGGCCATTTGTTGGTCTGAACACCCAGTATTTACTGGGTTTCAATCTCTAGCTCTCCTTTTTCAGTTCTCGGAAGCAGACATATCATAAACACCCTTCTGACAATAATGATTTAAGGTTAAAAAGCCGTAAGCGTTTCCTATAGTTGGGTAAGCTCTCTGGGTATGCAGGGTCGGAATAACACCGGTACATCAAGATTCTAGTAAAAGTTTGCTGGACCCTCTCAATTTTTGCCTGAAGTTTCTTGGTGTAGGGACTCCATACTTGCGAACCATATTCAAGTATGGGGACAACATAGGCTTTGTAGAGCTTCAACAGGATTGAAGAATCATTTTGTCGAATATTTCTGAGTATTGCGAAAGATTTGATTATCATCTTCAACTATCGGTCGGAAATAGTAGTTGTATAGATCCTTGGCAGTCCTTCTCCCAACAACGATACAATACGGACGCCCTCCCTCCTTTCGCCGGTCGAAATGCCTCCCCCCCCCGTTTGTGATCATCAAAAACGCATTGGCGTTTGCCCTGCGATATCAGCTCTGCAAAGGGCAGAGGTGCATCCAGTCCTATTGCCACGCAAAGCTCATAATTTAATCGTTAAACTTCGAACTGCTGAATGACACCCATATTATTTATGTGGCAGAATGGTGAGATTGTGGCCCTGAAATTGCTGTAGAGCTTGCAAATAATCTTGATGTTCTGATAGAAAAATCCTAATTGTTCAGAAGTCCGATGAACGCTTCTTTCTCGAAGGAGCCGAAGGCTTTCTTCAAGTCGATGAAAGTGAGACATAAGGGCATTTTGTACTCCCGCGATACTTCGGTGAGCTTCATTGAGATGTGTGGATGAGATCCATCGTGCTGGATCTCCAAGTTCGCTTGCTCGCATGGCTGTCTTTCATCTAGGGTTCTGCGAATCCTGTTCAGGATAAATCATATGAAGAGTTTGTAGATTACAGACAACAGGCAGACTGATCTATAATGGCCAGTGTCGGGCGGGGTCTCCCTTCTTGTACAGCAACACGGTCCTACTGGTTTTCTACGACAGGTAGCACGCTAAGAGTTGAGACAGAAATTTGGTTGAGAACTGGTGAAAGGTTCTTCATATGTTCGGGTGCCACTACGAATATTTCACCGACGGGAGTGGCGTAACCACTTCCGGCAAGAAGAACTGAAAAAATGAGCGATACTCCATCTCTCCAAGCTGTACGATGGCAGATGGGCATGCTGTCAAAAAATAGAGCTAGCAAGTCGCGGACGATGATCGTTCTCCGTTCCATCTTGCGTGATTTGCATCGTCGATGTCGGAGGCCGGTCATCTTAGTCTTGCAGTTGGCGAATTCACGGCAAGCGTTGCGGATGCTCTTCCCGGTCAGCTGCTCAAAAGTACTACTACTCATCTCCTCCTTGAGCTCTTCTTTTATCGCTACTCTGCATAGCTTCGCAAGCCCGCGTCAGCTCATAAATGCCTGCGACTCGTGCAGCTTGATGCTGACTAGCCAATTCCAACCTCTGTAATCTCTGAACTGGAAACTCATGCTCAAGTTTATCCGAGATTAAACCTTGCGTTAATCTCACATGTTGTTGTCCCTTGTTGTAACCTTCGGCATGATGCCGAATGTTTAGTTGCTTCTTGGTAATCTTGGAACTTTCTGACTTCTTGGCGCAGTCGTGAAGATGTGCGACAAGTCGTTCGTATTCCTCGTCGATGTTGTCGATAACGGAAACCTCCCAGTGCCTAGCGAGAGAAGCGAAAATTTCAATTCGACATTCTCAGGGGCTTCGCTCACCTAATTTTGCGGCTCTCTCTCTCATCGCATAGAAAAACAGAGCCTTATGCAAAAAAGAGGATGGCCGATCCCGTTTAGGCCCTAAGAACAACAGCGACGTTGTTCAAGGGAAACTGGTTGATTTCGTTATGAAATTGTCCACCACGACGAAACTCATGTAGAGCGCACAGAGTAGAGCTAGCATCTGGAAGTGGGAGATATCGTGAATAGTATGGGTCGACATGATAAATCAGACACCTTTTCATCCTGCTCATTGCACTCTATTCCGTGAGCCCCAATGAGTTTCAGCCATTCTTCCGGGGCTCGATCTTACCATTAGCGTTGGAATCGCGGACGATGACCTTGAAGAAGGTATGGTCTCCCTTGTAGAAGTTCTCCATTTCGTAAAGAATGCTTCAAGCTCATCCTTGTTCGTAACCGACGTTGGAAAAGGTGATGCTTGGTGAAAATGTGAGAACTCTCCATGACCTCAACCATTTCCTTATTCTTTAACATGGATACCCGCGATTAAGCTGATTCAGTAAGTCTTCGATCAGGGTACAATACTGGATGGAATTTATGGCGTCGGACGAGCCTCCTCCCGAAAATCTTACGCTGTATGGCCCCCTTCACCCATCTCTCCTCTCACCTTCCCTATGTTTTCCCAAACTCCTACCACTTTTCCCTAGCGCTGCTACTCATTATTAGAAATCAGTAAGTCTTTGTAGTGAAAATTTCTGACTTCCTCAGGAGGCAGATACCCTAAGGATCGTTTACCAATCTATTAGAACAACAAATACGCGCAAAAACTTTGTTTCAAAGAAAAGGCGCACATTACAATACAATCTAAAGCTAAAACTAGCAGTTGAAAGGAACATCAATTCGCTCCTAAAAAAATAAAGAAAAAACAATAGAAATACAAATAAAATGCCTTGGGCGTTCACATTGCTTCATACATCAGAAATATGTACGTTAAAACGTCTGACTCAAACCAATCAATGCGCATAGAAACCACTGGTAACGAAAGAAAAACAACAGGCGCCTAGAAAAAAAAACGGGGTCAATTGGGGATAGAAGTGGACAAAAAAAGAGATTTGAAAAAGTTATATCTAAAACACTTCACGGGGCGAATCGAACGGTAAATTAATATGGACATATACAAATCTAGGGTACTGTACTATGAAGTTAGACGACAGGATACTGTAGTCTGGGAACCGGGACGAGATTGCATAACACACCATGTCACATAATTTTCACGTCCCCTATTCACTTGCGAAGCCTGTAGAGTGGGTGCGGTCTTCTATACCTAGAATTTCGTAATATCGCGGCACGGCCAGAGCCGCACCGCAACCGCACGCACGCCACAGAAACGACTAGCTGGACCACGTGAATTAGATGTGATTGGGCGGCTATAAAAAACCTGCTGCTACACGGTACGATTCACCGGGTTCGATACACGAAATTATCAGAAATCACTATAAAAAAAACAAAGAAACCGGTGTGGAAATAGCCGAATCATGCTAATTGGAACATAAGCGTATAAATTTTACCAGTACAGGTCTCATCCTATCATCTACGGTATTCATGACTTTTGTGACAATATATTCGATCGATTATTGACTGTATCGATCTGGATAAGAGCAGCTTAGACAGAATTGAATTCTAATCGTTCTAATGCAGACCATTAAGAAGGCCCACAGCTGCTTGGTGTAGATGACTTGTGGTGGCGTTGAAATGATGCTGAGAAGACGATGGAGGAGAAGTGGGAGACGTTGGGATTTGACTGCTGCTGCTTAACGCTAGCAATGACGATACTGCGCTATTTGTACAAGGGGAGGGGTGACTTGGCCCAATGCCAAGAGGCTCAGTTGGTTACCGCTCGAGAACGAAGGACGATGAAGTTGACGACGGAGATTGGAGCTCTTGTATTAGACCATTTGGTGTTTGGAACTGAAAATGAAATAATATTCAGATCAATACAGGAGGAAGAAAATCTGTGAGAATTCTTGTTGTATTTCGGCCGATTTCGAACTCCGAATTGGGTAATACAAATTTCGAGTTGAGGATTTTTTAAAGGATAGAAAGCACTGGACGCTTCCAGTCCCATTCGATTGCCCCACATCAGGGTATTCCTGAAAAATGTAGAACTAATGGCCCACGCCGTACCTTGGAGAGGCATGAAGACGAACAACCCAGGCACTGTTTGGACCACGCGGTGACGCGCTACCATTGCAACCGCGCTCCAGCGCTAACAACAGGAACGCAGCCAGCCATAGACGGGAATCGATTGGCGCCGTCCGCTATTGTGTGGGAGAGTGCAGAAGAATGGGACCACATTGTGTGATTAGGCAACGTGTACCCTCCTATTGTTCCACACACTCTCAAAACACTAGCGGATTTGACTGATATTCTTCTAGGGCTGCTTTCCCTTTCATAGCACCTGGAGCACTCGCAGTGGTAGCGCGTCGACACGCGCTGCAGCGCGTCAACAAAGTCTGAACGGAATGATGAGGGTACTGTCATTGTCTACCAAACGATTACCGACCGATCATCGTCACTGGTGTAGTTGGCCTGGCAGAACAAACTAAAATGGTATGGGCTGTAAAAGTGCCATGACATTCTACCACACCTTTCAACCTCAACAATTTTACTCTAATTCCAAAAGAATGTTCCAGACGTGCACATCAAACGACCTCGAATAAGATTCTGCGGCGCTAAAGTGTGCCAAGGCATTCTGACAGATGAACAAAAAAGGCGTGACCTTAACATTCACTGTCGCCGCCCCCCCCCCTCCCCAACCCTTACTATCACAGCATTCACTCCAATTCATGAAGGACGTTGTGTTACTTTCACCAAACCTATGCCTACCACCAATTCTATGGAAGACTTGCTGATGCGCGAAGACATGTTAGGACTCATTGCTGACCTCAAAAATAGAGACAACGGGCTATAAAGGCTCGACTTTTCAATCCCACCCGATCCGGTGGGCGTACTCGCCCACCCCGGACGACTGCCTTGCGGTCGTGTTCTGCGACCGAAACAATACAAGTACATCCGTTATTCCCACCTCGTTCCGTAACAGTTCCCGTTGTTGCTGCTGGGGATGCGGCGAAGGGGTAGAGGACGCTGGTTGTTGCTGAGTGGATGGCGGTGTGGCCATCTGACCACTGTTGTTGCTCATCGCATAATAACTGTCGGCTTCGCTCGGCCAAGTTGCTGGGATCGTTGTCGAAATGCTCGACCACAGTATTGACACGAGAACGGTTTCGCTCCTGAAAACACTGCTTAATGACATAACGACAATACTTACTACACATAGAAGTTTATGGTTCTTGTCTGAATTACCACCTAAGTCGTTTAATTATTAGTAAATTTCACCACTACCCACACACTATATTGAAATTAGGAGATTTCATTTCACCATCGGGTAGAATACGTCATCCATGGTCATGACTCACTGTCAAGCGATAGGGCTAAACACCGGTGGATTGGCTTGAGCACACCCAGCGCCAGATCTCGCCAGCTGTCAGGCTCACACGTGACCTCATCATGTGCAAAAGGCCGCCATGCGTCCGCCTTGCGATATCGCGCGCGCCAAAACGCGCCAATACCGATGACAGAGATCATCGGACTGTCGTAAACGCTCGCAGCGGGCAATAAATGTCTGCGAACACCAGGCATAGTGGCAGGAGCTGTTTGTCGACGGGGGGCAGTTCGTATTATCATTGCTTCCCTAGTTCCGGTTTACAAATCTCACTCTGGTAAAACCTGTGAACTCTTGTGAAGCTGAACTAAGATCGTCTAGCCACCTAAAACGTGTCAACTCGAGAAACGGCTGCCTAGATGGGTCGACACATCTATGGAAAGCAAAATGCCCCCCGTCGACAAACTGCGCCGCATTAAATGTTCCTTAGACTGTTTTTGTACTGATTAAGCCAGTGGCGAGTGCTGAACATCGAAGTGGCTGAGAAAAAAAAAAAAAAAAAAAAAAAAAAGAAAAAAAAAACAAAAAGAAAGAAAATAAGAACCCTTCAGTGTAGGTGTGACACATAAGGTTAATAAAGTAAGCTCAGAACCAGTTATGTCAAAGTTCGTTTCTGTAGAACCATGGGCTTCTGAGTGATACTACTCTGAATCGTTGCCTTCACTTTGGGACCCATTCATGGGTCTGACATTGGCCCCGCCTACTTCGGTACACGTCGCCCACTCCGGGTATGCCTTCCTTTTCTCATGAGCTGACCCCCTTGCTGAAATTAAAGACCAGCTTTAGTTCTTGGATCCTGGTACCTGCAGTGTCCGAGGAGAAAAGATTGTACAGTAGTATGTGACTTACTTCGGTCAACGTTGCCAAGAGAACTGGCTGGGGGTGTAGTGCTCCCGGAGCGTCTCCATACACCGCTCGCGCTACCGCCGCCCCAGACAAACGCGCCACAGTCATACATTCTATTTTCCTGCGTTCTGATTGTTGTCTGAGCGCGTATTCCTCTGCGGAACCGGGTATCGACGAAAGTGCTTCACCTTGAAGACAGCGCGACCGAAGTATGGAGACGGGACCCGTGCATTCTCTTTTTCTAGGCGTCGTTCTGCGCTGCATCTGAACCGAATGCTATTTTTCAACTCGGTTAATCACCCACAGAAGGCATTTAGGCTCTACCGTCTTCAGATCTCAATAGACCATGTGAATGTGGACGAATGCTGTCGTCGTGGTTACACCCAAAATCAGAAAGAAAATTGTGGGAAATATTTTGACACCGTAACTTTGTCAGAGTGTAATTCCAAAACTTACCGGTATGTATTCGTTCGTGTTGGTCTACATGGCTCTTTTGAGTGAATCGCTTCGCACAGAAATGACAAGCATACGGTCGGTCGTTCGAGTGAATGCGAAGATGTTGTTGTAAACCACCGCGAGCCTGGAATTTTCAGAATAAATCGACGCATACGGCTGCATTCTTTTGAAACGGGGACGGATGCAGGACCCTGGGCGATTTCAAATAAACTGCGTGCCTCCCCAGTCTTCTTCACTGCTAAAGCTACGCACGGGAAGATTGGAAACCGCTGACCACGATTTAAGCAGAAAATTAAGGACAGCTACCGCGATCTAGAGTGTCAGTGGATAGCCAGCCCTGCGGTCTCTGTGCAACCCCTGGCTCACAAATCCTTTATCACATCTCCCAGTAGTGGATATCATCCAATGCAATGAAAAGAATACGAAAAACAACAAAAACTCGGAAGAAAAACTCTTGAAAAAAAAAGAAAACTTTCAAAAGCCAGCTGCGTTACGGTAGCGTGCATCTTTTAGTGTAGTGTGGTGCGTCGAGCTTTTGCACCACGAAAATTGGGTCGCTCGTGATTTTTACGCGTTTTACCTTGCAAGATGGGTTGGAGTTGACTGTATGTGCTCCTTAAATAAAATGTAATAAAGGAGAGCAGAATTATTATGGGCACGAGCGCGGTCAGCAAAAAGGACATGCAATTCCGATTAATGCCCGCCGCCCCAACAAAGAACAACTGAGCGGCTCTCCGTCAGAGGGCATCTAGCAAGTGGGCGGTCCAACTGGGCGGGCGTTAGAACTAGAACTTTCAGCGGCTGTAGCTCGCTCCTCGCTCGCTGTGGAGTCGCGAGAGTGGGACAGTCTCTAGCTTGGGGGCTGTACTACTTGCACAAGGAAGGACGACCATGTACTACTCGAGCGCGGGGGCTGTCTTTAACCTGCTTCGCGACCGCACGCTTGTGTTCCATGTGTGACGAATGGGATCTCAGTCATGACTATGGTGGCGCTATTCGCAAGCAGGAATAATACATGATTTGAAATCTCTCACTTTAAACCGTTTCCCACACTGTGCACATTCGTGTCCACGCATCATTCGACAGTCTGCCATATGTGTATGTAACTGAAAAAGCAATAGAATAGCCATATAATCAATAAAACCGATAGGATTCGTGAATACGAACCGCAGTCTGATCAGCCCATTTCTTCGGACAGAACTGGCATTTCAGCATACCGTCATGATTGGAGCGCGATCGTCTAACCGGAGTCGGAGTGCTTGAGCTGGATGTCGTGGTCATCGCTTCACTAGCACCACTATCGTTCGAGCAACGTCCACCATAACCCGCAGCTGAAACTTTCATTGCGTTCGAAATTCTGGCACCATAAATATCATTGCCCAGGATGACATATAGTCGTTTTCGCTATAGACGCTGGGGGAAGGGTGTCAAGAGGGAGTGGGTTTCGCGCAGCGCCAGCCCGTTTCCCACTAATCGTTTTCCGCTCATCCGCTATAACAGTTGATGAAGAGCGGGCTGGCGCCCGCTAGACCTACTCCCTGACACGCCCAAGCGTTTTCAGCGGAAACGACCTCTTTCAGCGGACTTTCA